TTGTAGAAACTGAGCGATAACTGGTAAATAAACGATGAAAGATACGTGAATTACAAATTGCACTTCCCCAGCCGTACACGTTATTTACCATTCCTTCGGTATATTCGGCGTGTTGTTTATCGTCTTACCTGGAACATACAGTGTGTGTGTTAGCGATCGTTATGTTACATTACGTTAGATACATTATGGGCGCGCGATATTCGAGACACGCGTTTTCCGTATGTTTAAAATATAAAGATGGTAATTCGGGATGGATGGATGGATGGATGGATGGATTTTCTGGTTATTATCCCAGCAAGAATTTTTTCTGAGTATCGGATACAATATTTTAAAAAAATTGTTTGTACATTATTAAATGGAAGAAAAATTCGGCAGAAATTTTTTTATTCTTATTGGAAAAGATTGGAATCTTTTATTACGTATTTTTAGTTGATAGTTTTTTAGAATAATTTATGCGTATAAAATTAGAGTAATCCAATTGTCATTCAATCCTTTTATAAGAATTCGTTAAGAATTTTAAATAGTCCGATTTTCAGGTTATTGACTTTTTTCCCGCATACATTTTGGTACACACACAAGTTCTTTAAGCGGATTAAACATACAGTATCACGCGCGTACTCGGATAAAATAAAAGATTCTAATCGCACGATTAGTATTCGAGCTAAGATTATTTTGTTACTGTACGATTATATATTGATCAATCTATCTTATAATTTTTATAATTTTAATAATAAATAATAAGTTACATGTGGTTATTAAAATTGGATATTTATCGATTGTTATTGAACGTTATTTTCGTATCCCTTTTATTTAATTCTATTGAGATAAAATGATAGGAATTTCGATAATAATCAATAAATTTAATCTGGCAAAGTAATATAGAAGTTCAGTAATAGCAGTGACTATGAATCGTTAGAAATTCTATTTTGAACTGTATGAATTGTAAATTGTAAATAGGATGGATATATAAGGGATATCAGTTAGCCAGAAGTGCTAAGTGATAGCCATCGATAGCCCTATTCGCGGTTCAAACCACTCTAGTTAAGTTCTTGATCTGTCTGATACGAAATCGGAGCAGTAAATGAGCTTCTGCCGCGATTCTACAACCTTTATATATATACGTGTATGTAAACAGAAACACAAGTACGTTCGAAATCGTCGCGTGGAAATTGTATTTAATGTTAATATCGTAATGTTTTGATAACAGTCTACAATATTCATTAATTTATTTCTTGTTATATTTTATTATATCCTATATATATATATATTTTATTATATATTTATATATTTATTATTATTATTATATTTTTATTATATATATTTTTTTTAAATAATAATTCTTAATAATTATCTATATATAAATAATAAATAATAATTAATAATTATATATATATATTATATCCTATATATTTTTTAAATAATAATTCTTAAAATTTTAACTCAATTTAAAAAAAAAAAAACACTCTTATCTTCCTTTCTTTCTTTTTCTATTTTGCATAGAGCGTATCTTTGCTCGTTCAAAAAAATATTCTCGCACGATTATTCATCTTTCGAAACGACACGTTCACAGTCACGAAATCACAATTGTTAATTTTGTATATAGAGATCGTTATGCTTTTAAAATAGCGTACAAATTGAAAAGTCGTGATAAAAGCATTAGCCCACAAATTATGATTATAACTAATAAATTTTACTCGATGGAATAGTTCCTTAATTAAAAATTTATTACAATTTATTTCAGGAAATTGATATTATAACAATAACGTTTAAAATAGGAAACTTTTTACACATTCGAATCGTTATTTTATTATCATTTTATTATGCACAAACGTGCATAATTCATTCGAATGAAAATCTATATTTCCTATATTTAAAAGTAAGATCTCAAAGTTTCTCTCTTAATCAACCTTTTACCAATTATCTACGATCAAAAATAAAACTTCCATCAACGTGTACATGCAAATCGATCTAAACCCTGTATACATTAATTATATCAGGTGAAAGAAGAAAGGAAGGAGGAGAGAGTGAGAAAGAGAGAAAGAGAGAGAAAGAGAGAAACAGGAGGTCACGCCAGTAATGGGAAAGCACAATTTTATTATCGTTATGACGAGATCAGCGACGGTGGCGCTTGGTCTCGATCGGTGCGACGAGCATACACCATACCATACCTACAGGATCCAGAATTGACAAACGATCGGTCGAATTTTCCACGCTTCACGTATGGCCAACAGTCGCGCACACGTAGAATCTTGATTGCGAAAATACCCTGGAACCGCGCGACCAAGCAAAGCGCATTTACATCCCCTCTTTCTCCAACCCTCCGCCTCTTCCATCCAACCAACGAGCGGTGTAGCGTGGCGTGATGGTGGCGTAGCTTACACGCTTGCAAAACGCGAGCTCTCTATCCGGTATACGCGCACTCGTCGAACGCCTGGCCATTAAGTTGCTGGTGCAATCAGAACGAGATTCGAGAGAGAGAGAGAGAGAGAGAGAGAGAGGAAGGGAGGGAGGGAGAAATAGCTTGCACGAGTGTCAAGATTAATAATATGTCTCTGAAGATGCATCTGCTAGTCAGATCGTATTGAGAATGTAGGTCGGCTTCTATTTCTCTCTCTTTCTCCCTCTTTTATCGTGTCGAAAATATATACCCGAATACAAATAGAATTTTAACGCGATCGTGTATCTTTTGCTAGCGAGAAGCAAAGATTTCCCTTTTCTCCAACTTTTTTTCACAGATTCGTAATTTTTCTTCTTTCAGGACAGCGATGGAGAGAAAAGCGATCAAGACTTGGTGGTAGATGTTGCGAATGAGGTCAGTTATCATCTTGCTATATCATCAATCCGAATTTATTTAGCTGTCTGACCGTATATAAATGATGAAAATCAAGGACTTTCTTTCAAAGAGTTGATGAGGGTGGTGCATGCGTCGGTTTATGCGCCAAATCGTTGATCGAAGAAAAGTATCTTAGATGGATTTTCTTGCCTCGTTCATATAATTATGATTGTTATTTTTCTCTTTTATTTTTTTAGTAAATTTTTACGTTTCTTGTACCACAGAATATCTTAATCATATCTGCAAGATATTCGAGTTTGTTCAATAAACGAACAATATATTTAGAAATTTTTTGAAGTATTGAATATAAGTGAAATCATACGAATATATAGATTTTAAAAACGTGAACATGATATGATGAAATTATATATGTGAAGAATTCTTTTTTTATGGAAGTCCTTGATTTTTTATTAACATCCCATTCAATAATAGAATGCAAAATATTAATTTTTACTTTAAGGCACAAAAAAATATTATAGATATCACACGGATTATTAAGAAAAAGGGGATAAAATTTGATATTTTTCATTTAAAAGTTTCTTTCCTTTTCTGTAAAAGGAGGCATCATCGCCACATGCGAATGGTGAGCACTCGGATCCACGTGAGAACGGTACTCTAGAGAAGTTGGGCGCTCCAGGACACGTGGGGCCTATTTCCGGTGCTGGTTCGACATCCGTAAAAGACAGACCACCCTCGCGGAGCGGAAGTTCCTCCGCTCGTAGCACACCGTCTCTGAAAAGTAAAGATGTAAGATCTCGCGGATAGCAAGCTTATTCGATGACTAATCGGTCCGGTTCTCTATTTTCTCTCTGAAATCATATTTCTGCTTGCGATATTTTATCAAAAATTTGCAATTTTGGCTTCTTTACCAAAAAAAAAAAAAAAAAGAAAAAAGAAA